ATCTTTTTAAAATTGCATTTTGTTAACTTTTGACTGTTTTTGTTTTTTGTACCTTGTAAAGCACTTTGTGATCTTTTATCTAGAAATGTGCTATATAAATAAAATTTTACTTACTTACTTACTTTTACAACTACGGTGAGCCAATCACTCATAATTCCTAGACATGTCAATCAGGTAGGAATGAATTAAGACATTAATAGAAATAAAGAGTTGTATGTTGACATGTAGCCCTTTTCTTGCTTAAATCATTAATATTTTTGAAAAATTAATCTGTGATAAGACAGCTTATCAAGATAGAACCATATAACTTAAGATGAACCAAACTGTTCACAATTTTATCAAGCTCTCAGTTTAAAGAAAGGCTGGTGACCCCTGTTATAGAGTCTGACAGCTGCAGGGATTATATACAAATATTCAACTATACCAGAATTAAACCAGGTCTAAATAAAAAGGAGTGAGTATCACAACGAAGATTAACCCACAGTGGTCCTAGTACCAGTTTGATATCAGCAAACACTGAGAGCATATATTGATATGACACCACAACCATGCTATCATTGCAAACACTGATAACAGCATAAATCGAATTAAATCGGGACTTGATGAGACCTTTTGAGTATCACTAGAAATATTATAAACAGTCGTCTCCATACCACAGTTTGCCAATGCGAGTGAAAACGCCCCAAACGGGCGTTTTCACTCGCGTCTATCGCGTTCGGTGTGAACACACCGTAACAGTCTGTGTATGAGAGCCATGTAATGTCCATGTGTGCATGCTGAAAGAGACTGTGCCTGTCTGACCCCCCTCCTCCTTTCAGGGTGGATCCTGCTGGACTCCAATGGTTGAGACCAGGTCTGAGGAAGTGTAAGTGTGTTTTTAATGATATGATTCATGAAATCAAAGCAGCACACATTCAACCATCTTCAAACTGTCACATCACTCATTCACATCTCTGATGTCAGGAGTCATCATCAAAGTGTCAATCAATGAACAGATGATGGATCAATAACTGCAGCTGGATTGTGTTTGTTCTCTCCATCAGATTCCTGTCAACTCACAATCAACACAAACACAGTGAACACAAAGCTCCAACTGTCTGACAACAACAGGAAGGTGACATATGTGGAGGAGGTTCAGCCATATCCTGATCATCCAGACAGATTTGATGTTTATGAACAACTGCTGTGTAGAAATGGTCTGACTGGTCGCTGTTACTGGGAGGTCGAGTGTAGCGGAAGAGTTGATATATCAGTGAGTTACAGAAGAATCAGAAGGAAAGGAAACAGTTACGATTGTTGGTTTGGAAACAATGATCAGTCCTGGAGTCTGTGGGGTTCTGATGATGGTGCTCATTCTGTCAGTCATGGTAAAAAAACAACACCCATCTCCTCCTCCTCCTCCTCCTCCTCTTCCTCCTCTGTCTCTAACAGAGTAGCAGTGTATGTGGACTGTCCTGCTGGCACTCTGTCCTTCTACAGAGTCTCCTCTGACACTCTGATCCACCTCTACACCTTCAACACCACATTCACTGAAACTCTTTATCCTGGGTTTTGGTTCTGGTCTCCTGGTTGTTCAGTGTCCCTGTGCTGAGTTGAGTGTAAAGAGTGTCCTCCTGTTAGAGAAACACTCTGACTGTTGAACAGATAGTTCAGTCTGTACATGTCTGTCTCTTTCACTCACACATGTAAGGCCAAGAACTAACATGGGTTAGCAGATCTGCCGAAGACTCATTGTGAGCTCTGGTCTTATATACAGCCAGTCAGATTGCCACCAGTTGGGAATTCAGGGAGGAGCAACGAGAGCTCCCCCAGAGGAGGAGAGCCGATGCTGTGGAAAATTACTGTGACTTAACCAGACCATGACATAAAGACCGGATAGTGTTGGGCAAGTTACTTTGAAAAAGTAATTCATTATAGTTACTAGTTACTTCTTCAAAAAAGTAACTGAGTTAGTAACTGAGTTACAAGATTCTAAAGGTAATTAATTCCTTGAAAAGTAACTATTGCGTTACTTTTAAAACATGTTTAACCCTCTGGGGTCCAGGGTATAATTGGCCATTTTTAACTACTTTTGATTTTACCTCTATTTCACCTTTAAAAACAATTTACTTTGCCTTGTTTTGTATCATTCTTTTCAGCAAAACCTCACGTGTCTGAATGATTCCTTGTAAACTTCTTCCTCTTCAGTCCTTTAAAGATGGAAGCTCCCATTATTCCAGGATCCACATGTTGTTTTCTGTCTTTTTCCACTCAAAGCTTCACAGTGAATCTCAGTATGTTGTGTTTCTCTGAAGCTCAGTTCACAACCAGCTCCTCTGCATTTTCATCAAGTCTGAGCTCATTAAAATGAATGCAAAGGTTTGATTTCTCTTTCTTAATGGGATGTTTCCAAACTCTCCATATGCTCTGACTATTTCACTCATTGTTGGAAGCTCATCATTTGAAAATGTTTCAGCCATGTAAGCTGAAAATATTGGCTCAATAGTTTTGAATGCAGTTCTAAGCAGAATCTGATTGTGTTGAGGGATCATAATGCACGTGGGTTATCTAATAAACAGCAAAGGCTTCAATCCTCATTTGAAACTACTCTTATTTTTTTTCCCATGTTGAACAAGAACATGGTGCAGGATGTTGGTAACAGCTTGGTTATCAGACTCTTAGAAACATGTAAATATGTGTGTATAGCACTGCATATGTTGTGTGTCACTTTAGTTTGTATGAAACATGAAAACTATCACAAAGGGTCCTGGTGAAGAATCTGTTGGAATTTGGTGACAGACATTAGATTTGTTTTGAAGTCAAACTTTTAGAAGCTGTTTCATTGTTTTTCATGTACCTTTAATTTGATCAAACGCAGCATCAAAAACAAAGAGGAAGTGATGTCACACGTGTTTATGTCCACAAAGCAGAATGAGCTCTATTGCTGACAATAAGTGATGTACAAACAGAGTGAGCGTTTCTGAGGCCCAAAATAAATTGAGTAGTTGTTCACTGAATGAACAATGGACTGTGAGCTCAGTTCTTTCATCCTTAGTATGGATTATATATGTATATGTACTATATTAGTATCATATATATTAGGTGCCACTGCTGCTAGTTTCAGCCATTGTGCAAATGTAATAATAATAATAATAATAATAATAATAATAATAATAATAATAATAATAAATTTTATGTATGAGCGCCTGTCAAGTCACCCAAGGACACTTTACAATAGGATAAAACACTTAGTAAAACAATGGCAGAATAAGAACAATAAAACAAAAGCACAAGATAAAATTAACAAACAGTGGATTCTCAGTGAATATGCAGATTTGAACAGATGAGTTTTGAGTTGGGATTTAAACTGGGGGAGAGAACCAATGTTTCTTATTTCTGGGGGCAGAGAGTTCCACAGCCTGGGAGCAGAGCAGCTGAAAGCTCTGCTTTCAGCTTTAGAAAATGAGAGCTAAACCAGGATTTTAATTCGGAAAGACATTCTGTAAGGGAAGAAGGTGGGAGGGAGGAATCAGGTTTGCAAGAGAGATATAACTGGGTGTCATCAGCAAAACAGTGAAACTGAAGATCAAATTTGCGGAAAATGGCACCTAGAGGGAGGATGTATATTATGAAGAGAAGAGGGCCTAAAACTGAGCCTTGAGGTACACCAGAGGTGACGGGGAATAGACGAGAGTTGAATGATCTTAGTTGAATAAACTGGGAACGGTCGAGGAGATATGATTGAAACCAGGCGAGGGGTGTGTCAGAGATGCCGAGAGAGGAAAGTCTGCTTCTTACAGAGTGAGAAATGGTGTTGAAGGCTGAACTCAGATCTAAAAGGACGAGAATGGTGAGAAGACCAGAGTCAGCACCAATTAGAAGATCGTTAGTGATTTTAAGTAAAGCAGTTTCTGTACTGTGACATGAGCGAAAACCAGATTGAAATCTCTCATAGATGTTATTATTAACCAGGTGTAAATGAAGTTGAGCTGCAACCACTTTTTTGAGTATCTTAGAAATGAAGGGTAAATTGGAAAATTGGTTGTTAAAGTTGTTAGGATCTAAAGAATAGTATATCTTTTCAGTATAGGAGTGACTAGAGCAGTCTTGAATAAGGAGGGAACGATACCGGTGGTGAGAGAAGAGTGAATGATAGCAGAGATGAGTGGGAGTAAAGAAGAGAGGCAGGATTTCACAAGCCCCATGGGCATGCGGTCAAGATGACATGTGGCAGGCTTTGATTTACAGAACTCAGAACTATCAGATAAAGACACAACATTTGATCTGAGTTGCTGGTGGATGTTATTGATTTTTTTTTTTGGGGTTGAATTAGTTTGTTTAGAACTGAAAACAGAGTCCTTGCATTACCCTCATAAGAACTGATAATACCAGAGTAGAAGCTTTGTTTGGCCTTGTTGATGGAGTCTTTATACTGAAAGACCCGGGATTTAAAGATTTCTGAATCAACAGTTAAACCAGATTTCTTATATTTACGCTCTAGCTGCCGAGCTTTGGTCTTCAGAGCTCGGAGGTCAGAGGTAAACCAGGGAGCAGAGCGAGCGAAGGAAACAGAGTGGATTTTTACAGGAGCAAGAGAATCAAGGACAGTGGGTAGACAATTATTATAATATAACAACAAATCATCAGGAGTAGAATAGAAGTCCGGAATCTGAACATTGTCCAAACTGGTAGTGAGAGTGTCCATATCAATGTTCTTGATGTTGCGGAACGAGATGAGACGGGTTGGCTTGGTAGAAGAGCAGCAGAGAGTGAGATTAAATGAAAGGAGGAAGTGGTCAGTTATGGGAAATTTCAGTAGCAGAAAGGGAGTAAGACCAGAACAGCAGACCAAGTCCAGGGTGTGTCCTTTAGAGTGAGTGGGAAAGTTGATAAATTGTTTAAATTCAGAGCCTTCAAGACAGGAGGAAAAGTCTGTGGTGAGCAGAAGGTCATTATTGTCCATGTGAATGTTGAAATCTCCCACCAAGATCACATTTGGGGAGAGAGATGAAAGATGGGTTAGTAGATTAGCAAAGTCACTGAGGAAGACAGGGTTAGGTTT